CATGTATGATATATGTGAAATATTATACAATTGTATTCCTCACAACTATATTCCAAACAGTATATGTATATATGTAATACCGTATTACATATTATATATAGGTACTATAGATATAGGTATTACTAATACCTATATCTATAGTTTTAGGCATTGCGTTTTGTGTAAATCGAGTCGATTTGAAGAAAAAAAGCTGCTGTCGTTAATACATGTGCTAATTTGCTCGCTACATATTTAATATTTTGAAACTAACGCGTAAATTATAAACATTTACACTGTTCGACATACCGGCAGGAAAATATTGTTTACGCACGACTTTATATTGTACTATATTAGTATAGGTGTTATTCGTATACAACAGTATAAAGTGTCATGCATGGTATATTGGACAATTTTTTTGTCAATAATTTTTTCGTCACATGTATATCGGACGTATTGTTTTTGAGTATATTAAAATATTGCATGAATTGTAACACACGTACGTGGTATGGCGATGGCCTCCAAACAAAGTATATTGAATATTATGGTATTGTAATTTGTAAGCATGTACCTCCTTTAYGTCGTATAATATTATATCGCTTTCGATTTGTGTTGTTAAGCGGTTAAAGCCAAGTAATAAAGGTATGTGAATTCATAATATATATGTTTACAATAGTTATTGATTTCGATGCTGTTAAAACTCGACTGCACCTAAGTTAAAATATTTTATTTTATATAATTCGAATATTATTAACTTACTTAAATAGTGCATATTATTCGTTGTTTAATATCCAGTGTTCCATATGTTTCTTATCATCTCGAATATTTCATCGACAAATGAATATTTTGTAGTTAGGTTTTCTTTAACCGCAGTAATATTTATAGGAAAGAAAATTACCATTTGATGACATGCGTTGCATATACCTACTAATATTATTTTATCATCTTCATTTTAATTCTACTAGATTATTTTATTTTGTACCTATGATTTTTTAAATAAGTTGAWCAAATCTTACAAGTTTATGTCATGCGTTTGCAGTGGACAATATGAAGATTAGCCGGAAATGCCGTCACGGCGGTGACGATGACGATGACATCCGTTTCATGGCAAAAGTGAACAAGGGTGCGCAGAACATCATGGTCGCGGTACCAGATCAGCTAGCGGTTGTTTTCATRTGGTCCCTGTTGACGGCAGTGTTCATCGTCATCTTGATAACGGTCACGTGCGTTGTTCTAAGGGTCGAATCACCATCCTTCCCGCCATCGGCTCTGCAGACATCACGCGGGGCACGCTGTTCGACCGTGTCCAAACATTCGCTGGTGACCAGGCTGGACATCGACCCCGGTGACATTCACTACGTTTTCTTGGACGACGACGACCACATCCCACAGCTGTCAGCTTGTTCKCTGGAGTCGGCCGTGAATGCTGGTCCGGGCCACGGTAACGGTAACGGACGCGTAAACGTGTTTGTCGTCGGTGGCATCAAACGGGTCGTGAACCACAATCGAACACTTTCGGTAAGTGTTCCGTGAAGAAATTACTAAGACTATCAGTCATTAAACCATTGAACAATATCATATTCGACGGCCCGATGGTGTCATAATACGTCATAATATGACTGGAGTGGGTCTTGAGGGAGGATTTATCTTCGCCCGAAACACGTCTCTTTCCATTCTGAAAATACCAAATTTCCCATTGTTTGTTAACATCGCATATTTTATTCAAATTAAGCGAGACTTTGTCGACATTATTCACATAACTCAAGTCGTTTCGACCTAAATAGAGCTACTTTGATATTTTAATTAGGTATTACAGTTTAAGTTCAATTAATCAGTGGAATGATTATGTTATGCGCTTATGCAATATACATATCAAAATTATTGTAAATTTAAAAATAATGTGAACAATTTTTATACACCTCTATGGTATAAAATGTGTAG